AGTTCAGCACATGAGGAAGCACTCAGGAGAGCAGGAGTGACTCAGTCTTGTGAGCTCAGCTCTAGGTCTCTTGTCCTTGCCTCACACTTTGGTCCCTGGGTGACATCTTCCCAGTAATCACACCATTCGCTTGCTCCTTTGCACATTTCTGAACACATCAGGGAGGGCTGCAGCCTGCAATGTCAGTTGTCTAAATTTCAGTGGCTGCACAGAGGGTGTATGTGTATGCTGGGTGTTTGAGCTCCCGCTGCAGCCAGCATCGTTTGGGCAGAGATTCAGCTGACCAGCTGCAGCAAGGCAGCAGTGAGTTTGCTGTGACCCATAGTTGTGGGAAGAAGTTAAGTCTGTTACTTTTCCAGTAACCGAGCTGTTTTCTTGGCCAGGCAGCTACCTCCAAACCACGGTGCTTCACCTTTGAATCCTCCACTTTCTCAATTGCCTGCTAGTCACAGAGGGCTAGCTTAGAATGGGATGGATTTAAATTCATGACATTAAGACCTTATCCTAGGACTGTACCTGGGAGAATGACTTCCAGTCATTCAGCCTGTGCTGGATTTCAGCTACCATCAGATGCAGAACTGAAGACTTACTAACACTGATATTTAAGGGATGCCCTCAGCCTACCATCCAGACCAGATTCGTTCTCCCTCCAAACAGCAAAGCTGGACCCTCTCTGGAGCATACAAGACCCAAACACGCCTCGTGAGCTTGTAAAGCTTTGAATGGCTTAATATGCCCCCAATTAACAGGAGAGGAACACAGCCTGGAGCATCCCACAGTGCAGACTTTAAATGCAAGTCCTTGTGAGAAACCCTCCCTATGTCAATGCTATTTTTAAAATTACTGTCAACCTAGATGCTTTCCCAAATATCTTATACAGTTCAAAAGGTGCACTGATGATCTTTGCTTTCCCTTACTCTCTTGTAACTCCAGTCTGTAATTCCTGAACTGCAAGGTTTGAAGCTTGACCTGCTCCATCACGGCTGGTACCTCTCACTGCAGAGAAGCAGCTGTGGCCAGTTGGGTCAAGCTGGGCTCCCCCCACACCCAGAACCAGTGCAATGCCCAGGGATCCACCCAAACAGCCTCATCTCCAGCTCCCAAAACAAGACAAGCCCATGGCTCATCCTCACCATGGGAGTCACAACTCCAGAAAAGCTTTCTGCATGGTGCTGAAGGGTTTACACACAAACCACCAAGGGTCAGCCTTAGAGGACTCTTCCCACAGCCTGTGCTTTCTTCATCCCGACTTTTCTCCCCTTTCCCAACTACTCCTGGCCAGTGAGGAGCTCCTTGTGCAGGGGAAGGATAAGGAGCACACCTCACTTTGGGGACCACTGATATATCTGTTATGAGCACCTGCAATGGCTACAAGGTTCAGATGGGCGTCCTGTCCCAACTGCCCTGCTATGAAAGACTTTCTGCATCTTCTTGCTGTCAAAAGTCAGTGTAGGATGCATAAGAAATACAGGACTGAGAGGAACAAACTGGGACATTGATGTCCACCCCTTGAATATCAGAGAGCTGTTTAAAAACTATAGCGTAGAGGAACATCCAATTTGCAAATTGCCATAGTCCAGGAAACACCAGCACAATCTTAATGTGAGTAACGAAAGACCAAAGGTCCCAAAATGAAGTGTACTGGCAGTGTCCTTGATCCCCATGGAGGATGTGGCAGGTGAAAATGTCCAACTGGCAGCAGAATGCACACGACGATGCTGCAGAGGAAAGGAAAAAGAAATCCTGCATGTTCCTGTTATCACGACCAGACTGTGGGAGGAAAATTAAATGGGTGCAGGAAGGCAATGCCATGAAGTCACCAGTTGTTCTAGGGCTGTCCTTGCCTGTTGGGAGCAGCTCAGCCAAATTAATTTAACTGCTCCTCCAAGGAACTGATAAACTGGTAGAAATCCAAAGTAACTCCATTTGAAGAGATGCTCTGGGTTCCTGCCTGTCTGCATTCACCTCCCTGGGTGTGATCTGAACTGCAGCGTGCAGCTTCAGCACCGCAGGTCCATGCAGAAATAATCCCATACCTCACCGGTTACTCCAGCAGTTGGGAGCCGACACAGCGCTGTAAGGAACATGCCGAATGGAAATGGTCAGAAAATAGTTTCAGTGGGTGTGTACAGAATAACATGACTCATACTGATCAGGATTTGGTGGAGTGCCACTTACAGCAGGGAAAGAAGGGTGCATGGCTAGAAATTCCCTTTCTCCATCAGAGCCCCTTGCCCAGTGCTCCAGGCCCTCAATAAACAATAATCAGCTGGGGAAAATCACAACCTCTTGCCTTTAAAAAGAAAGCAGCAACTTGCTCTGGTGACTATTGATCTCATCTTCCTGGCACCAACACCTGCAAATGTGATACCTCCTGACGTCTTAAAACAGAAATTAAAATAGTCTCTCTCAATTTGCAGCCCATAGGAGATGGAGCAGAGCCGAAAACCCTGTGGTCAAAGAGCTTCCACCTGGGTCCAGCTGCTCAGATTACACTGACGGGGAGATACAGCTGAGCTCAATTCTGCAAGGAACAAGGCCCAAGATCCTCTCATCTCTGAGGTCCAGTTCCCACCAGATTTGGGATCTTGTGTTTACAAACTCCCTTCTGACCAAAATTTTCAGTGCTTGGCTGTTGCAAGGGGGGAATTCACCAGGGGACCTGAAATGTTTGCTGTGATCCTGTGAGAAATCAGGTGACTCGGTGGATACAGAAATCAGTGGGAGCTGATGGAGATCCACCTGCTTCAGGGTTACGTTCTTGGACTATAAATCTGTGTCTCTTCATTTGCCTATGACACTGCACGTGCCTGACTGCATGGGGAAAGCACAGGGATTAATCAGCCGCTGCAGCAAATCCCAGATGTGCCCACACTACTTTTAATACATATTTCATAAT